TGTACAAACACAACTTTGTAATTGAGTGGAGACCACCACACGAGTCGCTCACCAATAGACTAACGCTGGAGCATGCACTAGGATGCAAACCAACCTGGAGCACCACCATGGGCTACCACCACGCCATCACAGCCCACATCCACGCCAGGGACCCGAAGGGCCGCTGCCACCATCCAGCACCGCACGTTGGCCACAAGTGGTCAAATCCGGACGGCTCTGACCAAACCGGCGCCCATCACGCGCGCTGCAGTGGATCTGACGTGCCTCCTAGCCGAAGAATAGAAGAGGGAGAGGCCGACACACATTTTTTCACTCCATTGTGTGAATTTTTCTATCCGACATATGACACTACTAGGAAAATGCTAATTAGTGGCGCACCTGTTTTGGCCATTAATGGCGCACTACAGGTGCGCCACTATCATCACGCCACTAGTAATTTTTAGTAATGGCGCACCTATAGTGCGCCTAGAGGTGTGCCATTACTATCTGACTTAGTAATGGTACATTACATAGAAGTGTGCCATTACTAACAAAAAAATTAATCTTTTTTTAGAAATTTTTGTTCAAAAATTTGTTCATTTTTTTCGGGTTTTTTCTTAATCTCGGGTCACTATGGCTTAATCTCGGGTCAATATGCTTAATCTCAAATCAAATCGCACTCTATGGTCAAACTTTCCAAAAGATCATCCATCCTCACACTACTCCAGCCCAAGCACGCTTAACTTCAGAGTTCTATCCAACCCTAGCACCAGCTAACTTAACAGGCACTTGTTGATATATCTAGTATATCAATCCTATTAAACCTTGTTGATGTCTAGGACTTTGTTCATGTTCATGAGTGTGCTGAAATTTTGAAAAAATATTTCAAACTTCCGTTCATATTACGTATCATATTTTGAACATTTTTTCCAGAAAAAAAATATGGGCTGGAATTTTTTCCCTGTTACTAGTGGCGCACCTAGCAAATGGTGCGCCACTACTAAGTTTGATTTTTTTTCCATTTTCCCCCTCTATATCTTAAAAGCCCCGTTTCTTTCATTTTGTTAGGTTTTTGGG